TTCCTTCCCGCCGTGGCCGCGGTGGGGCAAGCGCTGGGCGATGGCGGGGGTCCCGGCCATGCCCTCGTGTCCTCCCAGGCGCATGCCCGTGTCGACAAAGCCCGTGGAGGACGACGTGGACGTGGCCAGCGAGCGGCAGCGAGTGCTGCGGGGCGACGCTGACAACGACATGGTCAAAATCGAGAACCTGACCAAGGTGGGCCCTGGGCGGGTGGGGGCGGGGCTCGGGGTAGGGTGGGGCCCGGGTGGAGTCCGCCGGGTGGTGGCCCGCCTGCCCCGCTGAGTGGGCCGCCCGCTCACCTCTGACAGGTGTACAAGTCGCGGAAGCTCGGGCGCATCCTGGCTGTGGACCGCCTGTGCCTGGGTGTGCGTCCCGGCGAGTGCTTTGGCCTCCTGGGCGTCAACGGCGCGGGCAAGACCAGCACCTTCAAGATGCTGACGGGCGACGAGAGCACGACGGGGGGCGAGGCCTTTGTCCACGGGCACAGGTGCGGGGCAGGGTGTGGGCGGGCGGTGTCCGGGTGGGCGGGGCGACGGCAGTGGCCCGTGCTGACGGCGCTGTGTCCCCAGCGTGCTCAGGGAGCTGCCCCAGGTGCAGCAGAGCCTGGGCTACTGCCCACAGTTCGACGCCCTGTTCGATGAGCTCACGGCCCGGGAGCACCTGCAGCTGTACACGCGGCTCCGCGGCATCCCCTGGAAGGATGAGGCCCGGGTGAGGGTCGCCCGGCGGGGGAGGGGCTGGTGTGTAGCGTGGGCCCCTGACGTCATTCTCCCTCCCAGGTGGTGAAGTGGGCCCTGGAGAAGCTGGAGCTGACCAAGTACGCGGACAAGCCTGCCGGTACCTACAGCGGAGGCAACAAGCGGAAGCTGTCGACAGCCATTGCCCTCATCGGGTACCCTGCATTCATCTTCCTGGTGAGCCCGGGGGTGGGATGGGGGTCCAGTGCCCCGGCTTTGTCTTTCTGGGGGGCCCGGGGGTGGGATGGGGGTCCGGTGCCCCGCCTTTGTCTTTGTGGGGGGCCCGGGGGTGGGACGGGGGTCGGGTGCCCCGCCTTTGTCTTCCTGGGGGGCCGGGCAGGAAGCAGCTGGTGGGGCTAGCTGGGGTGAACGGGTCCAGCAGCTGAGCCTGGCACCACCCCCAGGACGAGCCCACCACAGGCATGGACCCTAAGGCTCGGCGCTTCCTCTGGAACCTCATTTTGGACCTCATCAAGACAGGGCGCTCGGTGGTGCTCACTTCGCACAGGTCCGCTCGCCCCCGCCCCCCCCGCCCCCGCACATCGGGGCCTCCCCACCTCCCGTGCCAGCCTGTGCGTCTCGCCCTCAGCATGGAGGAGTGCGAGGCGCTGTGCACGCGGCTGGCCATCATGGTGAACGGGCGCCTGCGCTGTCTGGGCAGCATCCAGCATCTGAAGAACCGGTGAGCAGCGGGGGCGGCAGGGATGGTGGGCTGTGGGCCGCGGCAGGCGGAGGCTGGGCTCCCCTGGCGGCCGGGCTGGGGCCAAGGGCCTGTCCCGCAGGTTCGGGGACGGCTACATGATCACGGTGAGGACCAAGGGCAGCCAGAACGTGAAGGACGTGGTGCGGTTCTTCAGCAGGAACTTCCCGGAGGCCGTGCTCAAGGTGGGCGGGGCCCCGGGGCGAGGGGCGGGGCCCCGGGGCGGGGCGGCACTGCCCGAGCGGCCTCTGACCACTGTGCCCCGCCAGGAGCGGCACCACACAAAGGTGCAGTACCAGCTCAAGTCGGAGCACATCTCGCTGGCGCAGGTGTTCAGCAAGATGGAGCAGGTGGTGGGCGTTCTGGGCCTCGAGGACTACTCAGTCAGCCAGACCACCCTGGACAACGTGAGTGCCCTGGGCCGGGGCCGCGGGGCCCCCCTGGGCGGGCCCCCACCCACCCCCTTGTCCCTGCCCACCAGGTGTTCGTGAACTTCGCCAAGAAGCAGAGCGACAACCTGGAGCCGCAGGAGGCAGAGCCCCCCTCGGCGCTGCAGTCCCCGCTGGGCCGCCTGCTCAGCCTTTTCCGGCCTCGGCCCCCCACCACTGAGCTGCGGGCGCTCGTGGCCGACGAGCCCGAGGACCTGGACACGGAAGACGAGGGCCTCATCAGCTTCGAGGAGGAGAGGGTGAGCAGGGTCCTAGAGTCAGGGCAGCCAAGCCGGCCAGAGAGCCCAGGCTCGGGATGGGGGTGGGGCTGGGGGGTGGCCCCGGACCCCTGCTGTCCTGAGCTCACGGGAACAGAGGGACCCGCCTGATGGTCAGGGCTATAGTGGACACAGGAGGCCTGGGCACAGGCAGAGGAGACAGACACACACAGACCCCAGCACCGCTTGGAAACGGAGGGCATGTCAGAGACCGGCAGAGCGGAGGTGGGGGGAGCAGAGCCTGGGGACAGCAGCCACCGGCCTGGCAGAGGCAGGCCACGCGGGGAGCTGACCCCTGAGAGGAAGCTCAGGGCGGACAGAGGTGGCAGAGCCTGCGTGCGGGCCAGCCTGGGGCAGGCGTGGGGCCAGACGCCCGACCAGGCCTGTCCCTGTCCCCCAGGCCCAGCTCTCCTTCAACACGGACACGCTCTGCTGACCGCCGGAGCTGGGTCAAGGTCACGCTGTGGGAACGGAAGTCGGGCAGTGGCTGAGGTCCCACCCTGTGTCCCCAGTGCCCGCCCGCCAAGGCCCTGGAGTGGGAGGTCCAGGACCGAGGGCTTCAGGCCCCTCCAGCCCCGCCCTCCTCGGCCATCGCGCCGCCCTCCCCTCATTGTGCCAAAGGCTGGCCCGGCCCCGGGCTGCGCACACCCTCACCCTGCTCTGCCTTAAAGCCTTGGGGTCTGGCCAGCCCCTCGCCCCTGCCCAGCTCTGCCTACCACCCCCAGGGCCACGGGGTGACCCGGGCTGCCAGGCACCGCCCGACTTCTCCTGGCGACCCCTGCCCTCCTGAACGGGCGGTTCTCTTACCCCCAGTTTGGATGGTGGCTGCTGCCAGCCTGGGACTGGGGGGCGGGGCTAGGTCCCACCCAAGGAACCGTTGTCGTGGGCCGGGGAGGGGGCTGCCACGGGGCAGTGGGCCGGGTAGCAGAAATGGGGAAGCTGGCCCCACCGGCCCGGTGAGGGGCCGGACCCCCTCCCCACCCCCTCCAGCTGCCATTGCTCTCCCACCCAGCTTGGCCCCCTGCCCGCCCACCCGGGAGCCAGACCCGGACGGAGCGCACAGATGTTTGTTTTAAATAAATAAACAAAAAAGTTCACGCCAGCTTGCGTGTGTAGGGTGGGGTGTGGGGTGAAGGTGGGCGCGCTGGATGCCAAGGTACAGCCCCTGCCCCGTAGGCCAGGCTCAGGGTGGGGGAGGGTGACTGGGTCAGCCTGGAGGAGGGGTGGGCTCCTCCCCCTGCAGGCCGGGGCTCAGGAGAGAAGAGTTTCCAACACAGGGATGAGGTCGAGGACAGCAGCCCTGGGACCTCGGGCCAGGCCGAGCCTGCCCCGCAGGGACTGTGAAAGGAGGAGGGCGGGCAGCCCCCAAGGGCCCTCGGGGGGCTGCTCTGTGGGTGGCAGGGACGGCGGGGAGGGTTGCTTAGGGACAGTGCAAGTGGCTGGGGTAGGTTGTGGTCTGGTTAATGTTGGTGACCACAGGTTTGTTCTCACTTCTTTAAAAACTTTGAAACATGGTAGAAATTTCATACAATGCAAGTGGATAGAAAACACAAATTGAATGTCTGTGTTTGTACTCGTCAGAGGTCAGCCTGCAGGATACACACAAGCATAGGCTCAGAGTGACATACACTAATGGGTAGTTTTTCAGTTTGCTGGGTTTCTCTCTCCCACTTGGCCTGGTTTGCTAGGGCTGCCATAACAAAGTACCATAACCGCGGCGCCTTAAACACCGGATGTTTACTCTCACCGTCTGGGGGCCAGAAGCCCAAGATCGAGGTGTCGGCAGGTTGGAGCCTCCCGAGGCTGTGAGGGACGGTCTGCTCCCTGCCCTCCCAGGTGCTGGTGGTTTTCTTTGGGGCCTTTGGCTTTGGAAGCGTCACCCCCATCTCTGCCTCCACCTTCACACAGGGCTCTCTCCCTGTGTGTGTGTCCACATCTCCCCCTTTTTTATATGTATGTATATATTTTAAAAACATGTATTTTTGGCTGTGTCGAGCCTTAGTTGCGGTATTCGGGATCTTCGTTGCGGTGCGTGGGCTTCTCTCTAGTTGTGGCCTGCATGCTTAGTAGTTGTGGCGCGCAGGCTTAGTTGTCCCATAGCATGTGGGATCTTAGTTCCCCGACCAGGGATCGAACCCAGGTCCCCTCCTTTGGAAGGCAGATTCTTAACCACTGGACCACCAGGGAAGTCCCTCCCCCTTTTTATAAGGACACAGCCATGTTGGGTTAGGGCCCATCGTAATGACCTCATCTTAACTTGATTATTTCTGTAAAGACCCCCTCTCCAGATATGGTCACATTCTGAGGGGTGGGAGCTTGGGGAGGAGGACTTCATATGAATTTGGAGGGGACACAGTTCAGCCTGTAACGCTAGTAAATCTCAGGCTAGTGAGACCCACCTCCTCCGTCCGCCCCTGTGGACGCACCGGGACTCTGCCACACCCCGGGGGACTGCACACCCGTTTGTCCCTCGTGTACTTATGGGGACGACTCGGTGGCAGGTGCTGTTTACCAGGGACGCCCCCAGAGTGTGTTTCCCCCACGCTTGCCAAGAATATGGTTGCCACATTTCTGCCCGTTGTAACCACAAACCTTATGCATGTTGGTCTCATTTGTTCTTGGAATACGTGTACAACGGAACCCAGTCATGTGTTCTGTTGGTATTTTATTTCCTTTTTTCTGCACCGCGTGTTCATTTGTCCATGCCACCGTTTTTCTAACGGACGCGTAAGGCTGCCTTTACACACAGGACGTCTGGCGAACAGGCGCAGGTGTGGAGGGGCCTCGGCCCTTCTCCAGGGTGGCAGGAAAGCAGGAAGGGAGCCGGGAGACCCCCAGTTGTTGAGGAGCAGCCCCATGGTGGTGGCAGGTGGTCCGGAGGCCCAGGCCCCAACTCCACAGTATGTCGAGGCCAGCCCCAGGCTCAGGGGGCCTCTGCCAGGAGCGCTGACCACTGTTGCTTCCGGAGAGGGTCTGTCGGGCTGGGAGCCTTGACGGGGGAACGAGGCCCTGGGCTTGGAGTGGAAGGCGCCGTGCATATCCCACTGCTGCCACCAGGTGGCGCTGCCCCACGATGGCTCCTCCCTAAGCCCCCCTCCCCCCCAGGCGCTGGGCCCCAGTGTGGGGAGTCCGGTGAGTGGCCCTTATCGGGGCGGGCCGGCAGGCGCACACCTGTGAGGCTGCCCACTCCCCCAGCCTCCTCTGGCCTCCTTCCAGTCCAGGGTGGGGAGGTGGAGCGGGGGTGGGGGGGGCGAGGTCCCCATGGCTCAGAAGATTGTGGCTTCTAACCCCAAGCGTTCTTTCTTTTAAAGGTTAAGAGCAGGGAGAAACCCGCCCTGAGCCCACGACGGAGGGGCAGGGGTGTGGGGTCGGCCGGGTAAAGACACCTGAGCCCGGCCCGTCCCCCTCGGGCACGTTTGGAATGTGGCCCCTGCCCTGGGTGGGGGTGGGGGGGCTGTATCTAACGGAGATCAGTACGTGGGAGGGGGGCGTCCCTCCCAAGGATTTATCACTCCTGTAGTGCCCTGGTCGGCAGATGCGGAAACAGGCTGTGGCCGGGCTGTTCATCTCCCTCCCGCTCCTCGGCTTTCTGGGCTGGGAACCCTCACAGGCGGCGGGGGTGTTGGGCTCACGGTGGGGGCGGCCCTGCTCCAGAGCTGCCCCCTCCCAGGTCGGCACCCCGACTGCCAGTGCACTGGCCTCCTCCACCACTCCGCCCCCCAAGCCGTGGCGCCCCCGGTCCAGCTCCCAGCACTCAGTTCTCCACGGTCACACCCTCACGCCGGCACTGAGCCCTGGCTGCCTGTGCGCCACCTAGGTGACTCCACAGGGCGGGCTCCCGGGCCGGGAAGGGCGGGGCGCTCGGGGACCCTTAAAGGGAGCTCCGCACGTCCTCGCCCAGGCCCTGCCGCCGCTCGAAGCTCCCCACCATGGCTGGGCCCGCCAAGCCCGGCTGTTTGTCAAGGTGCCGGGCTGGCCGGGCTGCAGGAAGGTCTGGGGAGGGCTGAAGGGTGGGTCTCTGCGGCACGGTCCGCACCCCTTGCCCTGCGCTAGGCTCCGGCTGTCCTTGGAGGCTGCGTAGGTGGGGGCGGTGAGGGGGGTAGCGCCGGTGAACCATTCCCAAAGGGCTTGGGGTGGCCTCACCCTGACTCCCAGTCTTGACTCCCGGGCACAGCCCAGCCCTCCTGAAGGAAAAGCCCCTGGGGGGCGGGCACGTAGCAGGCAGGGAGCAGTGCCGAGGCCCGGTGGAGGCTGGGGTCAATGCAGCAGAAGAGGGGCTGTGCCAGGCAGCCTCCGTGCCTAGATCTGCCGACCCCAGTGAGGGGCTGCCAGGGCCTGGCCTCCTCCCACCCTTGAAGCCCGGGGCAGCGAGGTACCCGGTGCAGCAAAGTGAATCACTCCGGAAACAGCTCACTTGTCCCACCCCACCCTTGCGACCAGCCTGCAGGCCCTGGTGCCCAGGGGCCTGGCCTCAGCCCAGGCTCTGAAGATAAGGGCCGAGGGACCAAGCTCCAGAACCAGGCTCCCGCCTCTGCACCCCTCACCCCGGTGCCCTGGCCCAGCCTCCAGGCTCTCAGCAGTGCTGCAGCCCTCCCCGCCTCCCAGGGACCCAGTGAAGGGCCCTCGCGGCCGCTTGTCCAGGCCATGCCCAACTGAGTTGGCGCCCTAGCCTTGCTCCAACCTCTTGGCAGTGGGAGGCCGCGGGGCTCCTGGGTGTGCTCCCTGCTCCGACGCCCCTCTACACTTCCCATCCAGGCGAGTGAGGACAGCGAGAGCGTGGGTCACCGCCCTTCTTGTCAGAGGCCCCACGATCCTGCTTCTCAAGGCGTGTCCTTCACACTCGCCACCGTGGACCCCGCAGGTGAGCCCCTGCCCTGGGAACCCCTTGCTGGCTCTGGCCCTCCTTGGGCCAGCCGCTGGCACCCTGCCTTGTGCCCACAGGTCCCCAGATGTGCTGAAAGACTTTGCCCCGGGTTCGCAGCTGCCCGTCCTGCTGTATGACGGCGACGCCAAAACGGACACGCTGCAGATGGAGGAGTTTCTGGAGGAGACGCTGGGCCCCCCAGAATGAGGGCCCGGTGCGGTGGGAGGGGCAAGATGGGGCCCTCAGGCAGGACACCCCCAGGACAGAGCCCGGGGCCCCGCAAGGGGCAGCAAGGGTCTGACCCAAAACCCCTCCACCCTCAGATTCCCCAGCCTAGCGCCCAGATACAGGGAGTCCACCGCGGCGGGCAATGACGTCTTTCACAAATTCTCCGCCTTCATCAAGAACCCGGTGCCCGCGCTGGACAATGATGAGGAGGGTCCGGAGACACGGCGAGGCTGGGGGGAGTGGCGCCCCCGGCCGGCTCCTCACCGCGCTCCCCGCCCCCAGCCCTGTACCAGCATCTGCTGTGCGCCCTCGCCAAGCTGGACAGCTACCTGCGCGCGCCCCTGGAGCACGAGCTGGCGCGGGAGCCGCAGCTGCGCGAGTCACGCCACCGGTTTGTGGACGGCGACCAGCTCACGCTGGTCGATTGCGGGCTGCTGCCCAAGCTGCACACCGTGAACGGGAGCGCCGGGCCGGGGGGGCAAAGCGGGGCGGGGCGGACCCTCGAGGAGACCCCGACCGCGCCCCTCGCCCGCAGACGGTGTGCGCGCCCTTCCGCCAGGCGCCCATCCCCTCTGAGTTGCGCGGCGTCCGTCGCTACCCGGACAACGCCCTGCAGGAGAAAGAGTTCAACTACACGTGTCCACACAGCGCCGAGATCCTGGCGGCCTACCGGCCCGCCGTGCTCCCCCGCTAGCGCGCCCGCCTTCCCCGCCACCCATCCGCTCCTCTGCAGCCCCAGAAAGGCATCTCTGCCTCAGTGAGCGGGTACGGACATACGAGGACCAGAAGCCCCGCAATTTCTGCCACCCCCAAACTCCCACCGTGAGACGCTCAGCTCCAGATGACAGCCAGGAAGGACCGGCAAAGAACCCAGTGGGCGGCGTGCGGTCCATACCCCCACTCCTCAGGGATGGCGGGACTGGATTGGGCTCCCAAACCAGTCAGGCCAGGGTGGGGCGGCAGGATGGCTGGGGAGGGTGGGGAACAGAGCCCCGTCTGGGCAACTTGGGTCTCCAGGCCGGAGGGCGGGCCCATATTCCTCAGCTCTGCCCCAGGTGGCAGGCAGGCCACCCCCATCTCCCTGGTCATCACGTGGGGTTTGCATCAGGGAGGCGTGTGCCCGGAGGGACAAGAGCAGAGTTCTAGCCTCTCAGAGCCCCAGCCCCACCTCACACAACCTTCTTGGCTCCTGGGCTGGCCAGGCAGGGACAGCTGGGCAGGTGGGGAGAGCCGGGCAGCTCCACCATGGAGCGCAGAGCCTGACGCGGCCCCACGCCCAGACCGCAGGCCTGGCAATCCCCGAACCCTCTCCTGGAGCCAGCCCCCAGGAACCAGAGCCTGGCCCTGACCTCTGTGACCTCCGCCAGATGAAGATGTTTATTTGATGGGGAAGGGGCTGGAGGAGCAGGCCTGTTCCTGCCTGGCAGCGGGATGGGCAGGTGCCAGTGGGAGGGTCCCAGGGGCTGCCCCTCCCCTGGCAAGCAGCCTCCCGACGGTCACACTTTTTGCTGCACCTTCAGGGGTCGTCGAAGTCTACACCACCAGCTGGTTTCTTGCTGGGAGAGAAGAGGGAATGACACCATGGGGGTGTGGACGGGCGGGCAGGGTCCAGGGATGGACCCTGGGCACAAGAGGGAGGGGGAGTGGGTGGGCACCTCTTGAAGCCAGGGTTGATGAGAGACTCTCCCGGACACCGCCTCTTGACCCCAGGTCCAGGGCCAGCTCTCTGAGGATCCGGGTCTGGGGAAAAGAGAATGAGGGAGGGGGGCTCTTGAATCTAGCAGGATGCCAGGGCCACAACCCCTTCTCCACACAGACAGATCCTCTCTCTGGGGAAACTGAGTCACCCAACCCAAGTCACAGGTGACAGGCCTTACCTGGTAAGAAGAGCAGAGGGCCCACCTGCCGGGAGCTCTTCCTGGGGCTGCTGGCCGTCTCCTCTGCAGCAGCTGGGGAGAAAGCAGGAATGGAGGCCCCAGCAGGGGGACCCCAGTGAGAGTGTGAGATGCCTACCCCCCACCCTACCTGCCAGCCGCTGCTCCAAGCTGCACACGCGCTCTGCCAGGCCCAGTGTCAGTGCCTGCAACCTGGAGGCTGCCTCTGGGCCCGGCACCTTGGAGAGCTCAAATTCCAGCGCAGAGGGCCCCCCTGAAAGGGTCAGGGATGCTCTGTCCTCCTGCAGGGTGAGAGTCACAGCTTGCTGCTCGCAGGCTGCCCTGGGAAAGGAGGCGGGCTGAGCGCTGTGACCAGACCCACTCGCCGCTCGCTCCCCATCCCACCTGCCCCCCCCGCCCCCCCGCTCAGGGGCTCACCTGAAGCGGGGGGTGATGTCTTCAGCCGCACTCAGGCCAAAACGGGCTTTCTACAGGGCACAGGGACTGGTCACCAGGTGCCTGACACCCTAGGAATACTGGGGACACCCCAAAACTGCCCGACCCAGAGCCGCCCGGGACCAATCTTAGGACTACAGCTACAGAGCCGTGGGAAGGGTGTCTTGACCCTTCCGGGGAATCCCAGGCCGCCCCCTTCGATCCCACACGTGGTCCGCGCTGCGGGCGTGGGGTGCTGGAGGCTGCCGGCCGCCCAGGAGCCCTGTTACCCACGAGGGCCGCCAGGCTGTCCGGCGTGAAGCAGGTGCTCCAAAGCTCCGCGGCGTCCGTCACACTGCAGGGGAGGGGCTGTCAGGCAGGACCGCCCGCAGAGCTGCCCGCAGCCCTGCGGACCCCGCTACTCACTAGAGGTTGAAGCCGCCGCGTTCCCACGTCCCACTGCCCTCCCCCTCGCAGTAACACACGAAGCGCGGGGGTCCGGGGCCGGGCGGCAGCGTGCAGAGCGGCGGCGACAGCGGCGGCGGAACCATGGCACCTCGGCAGGCGGAGGGACCGGGCGGATCCAGGGCCGCCTCGGGACCTAGGGCCACCTCGGGACCTAGGGCGCCTGCGCGGGCGGAAGGCTTCCGGAGCGGGGACGGGGCCCGTGCCAGTGGGCGGGCTGGGGGTGGGGGGGGCAGTGCCGAGCGGTGCCCAAGGGGCCTGCGCGGGGCGGGGCTCGCTGGGCGGGGCTTAGTCACGGGACGGTGCTTGCACCGGTGGGGGCGGAGCTTCGTGCGCAGGGCGGGGCTCCCGGGCTGGGCCGGCGTGTCCTGAGAGCTGTTTTACGGGACAAGGGCTGTGCAGCGCGCTCCGGGACTCGGGAGCCCGCGCACACTTCGGGGTCTCTTTGAGCCTTACCCCCTGCTCTGTCCCCGCTGAGTCCGGGGTTCCCCCCCTTCGCGCAAACCCTGACTGGGCGCAGGCCGCGCCGGCCACTGCTCTGGCCTCAGACTGCTTTGACCCCCTCGCTGATCGCTGCGGCCTCCCCCTCGCACCCAGCTTCCTATTGTCAACTGAAACAAGTCAAAATACCAAAGTGAATAAAGTACGGTAACCGGTGCAACAGGCTTCCGCCACTCGTTCATGCATTCCACAATGTTTACCCAGCACCTGTTCTTTGCCTCGTGTTGTCCCGGGCCTTGGGCACACCTTGATCAAGAGACAAGGTCTCTGATCTCCTGGAGCTTGTGAGAGCTCATGGGATGGACAAATAAAAAACGAAACATGCAATCCTCAGGTCGTGCCAAGTGCCTGTGACCTGGAAGAAGAGAGGTGGAGCGCGCCAGGAAAGAGGGTACCAGGCAGAGGGGGCAGCCTCTGCGGAAGCCCCATAGTGGACACAGAGCAGCTGTGCTCAGGGCTTTGCTAGAGGCCAGAGTGCCCGCAGCGAGGCGTACGAGGGCGGCAGGTGGGTTTGTAGGCTGTGCTGATGCACTTCAAGTATGGCTGCAGCCAGGCCTGCCTCGTCGCCTGCTTCCTCCTATTCGACAACCCTCACGCGACAAGCCCCTTCCCATGAGGCTCCTGCCTCAGGACCTCTGCATTCGCGGTTGTCTCTGCCCGGCACCCCCTTTCCCCAGAGTTACTCACTCCCTTCAGGTGTTCACTCAAAAGTCACCTTCTCGGTGAGGCCTTCCCTATTGTTTTATATCCAGTTTCAGCACCCGGCCCAACATCTCATGTCCTCTCTCCTCTTTCATCTGTTTTCCAGCTTGTCACTACATAGAGTACATTCTGATTAACGTGTTGTGACAGCAGCCTCTACGATGGCCCCCAACCACGTGCCTCCTGCGTTTGCACCTTTGTGTAGCCCTCCCCTGAGTGTGGGCTGGATTGAGTAACTGGCTTCTAGCCAATAGAATGTGGCAGAAGTGATGGGCTGTCACTTCTTTCTTTCTCTGGAATTGCTCACCATGACATGAGGAGTCCCGTGGCAAAGGACCAAGGCCTGGCCAACAACCAGTGAGGGAGCTGAGACACAGACCCCTTCCCAGCTGAGCCTTCTGATGAGAACACAGCCCCAGCCAGTGGCTCGACTGCAGCCTCTCGAGAGATTTTGCGCCGAGGGTCCAGAGCACCCAGGACCGGATTCTTGACCCTCAGAAACTGGGAGACAATACACACTGTTGTTTAAAGCCACTGAGTTTCGGGGTAATCTGGTCTTCAGCAGTAGGTGACTAATATAGCTATTTATCCTGTTTATTGCCAATTTTCCCCATGAGGTCCACAAGGGCAGGACATTCTGTTTTATCTGCCACTGTATCCTCAGTGTCTAAACAGTGGCTGGCACATAGAGATATTCAATAAATATGTAAGTGAGTGAATGCAGAGTGGGGAGTCTTTGGAGGGTTTAAGCGGGGGTGGGCTGGGGAGTGGTACTTCTGATTTATGTGTATAAAGCCCATGTTGAATGCCATGAGGTGAGGGGATGAAGGGCTGTGGGAATGGAGGTGAGGGGGCCAGGGAGACTAGAGGGCTGCTGAGTTCCTCAGGACAGAGCTGTGCCAGGGGCTCAGAGTGGAGTTGGAGAGAGGTGCAGGGGAGGAGGGGAGAGATCATGGTGACCCCTGCATTTAGGAAGAGTAGAAATGCCCTTCCCAGGACTTCCCCAGTGGTCCAGTGGTAAAGAATCCACCTTCCAATGCAGGGGACGCGGGTTCGATCCCTGGTTGGGGAACTAAGATCCCACATGCTGAGGGTCAGCTAAGCCCATGCGCCACAACTAGAGAGAGAAAACCTGCACGCCACAGCTAGAGAGAAGCCCACGCGCTGCAAAGAAAAATCCGCGTGCTGCGACTAAGACCTGACGCAGCCAAAAAAAAAAAAAAAGTGCTCTTTCCAAGACGACTGGGCTAAGGCAGGACTGGAGAGGACATGGGCGCCTCTCCTTCGTCTTATGAGCTCTTGATATGGCTGTATGTCTGATGGAGATGAATGAAAGCTGCTGTGTACACAAGACTCTAGAGGATCAGGCCCAGAGATGTGAGTGTGGAGTCACCAGCCCCCGGGACAGCCTTAAACATTAGTCCCTCCAGGCACAGTGCTCAGGCTCTAGGAAGTTGTCTCTAGGTAGAATGTGGTAGGCTGAATAATGACCTCTAAAGGTATCAGGTCCTTAATCCCTGGACTTGTGTTATCTCATATGTGTTGACCTAAAACGATAAAATAGCCAGTTATTTTGCCAGCAGCGTGGGTTTATTTGGGAAGAGCAAAGAATCATAATTGAGTGCATACAATCTAGGGGAAACCACAGGCAAATCTGAAGAACAAAAGACAGGAAACTCTTTTATAGAGGAGAAGGGGGAATGGGGTGGGGTGTTCT